ACCGACAATTCTCTGAAGTGGCAATGTTCATGTGAAATTCAAAGGAGAGAAGCACACGTTACCGCTGCTAGTAGTGAAAGGAAGCGGCGAAAGCCTGTTGGGAACAAACTGGTTTCGAGCACTGGGAATCAAGGTTCAAGGAATTCATCAACTATACAAGTCCCTACCCCGGATATAAGGATAGGAGAAGGAATTTCCAAACGTCGCCAAGTCAAGAATTGGCGAAAGCAAAGGAACCGAAGTTCACATAGAGTTCAAGCCAGACACCAAACCAAAGTACCACAAGCCTCGAGCTGTTCCGTTGGCACTTCAACCAAGAGTGGAAGACGCCATCGCACACCTAGTGCAGCAAGGAATTCTGGTTCCAGTGAGGTATTCTGAATGGTCTACGCCAGTCGTACCTGTGGTGAAGTCAAACGGCAAGATACGACTATGTGGTGATTAAAAATGCACCATTAATCCAGCATTGGAATGGTAAGATTATCCACTGCCAACAGCAGAACCGCTGTTAGGTAAGCTGGCAGGTTGCCGGTGGTTTTCTAAGTTGGACCTGGAACAAGCCTATCAACAGCTTTCTGTTGATGAACACATGTCTAACCTACTTACATTGAGTACTCGCAAAGGACTTTTTAGGTAACAAGTTTACAATTTGGTGTCACTATCGCTGTAGCTATTTTTCAACGTCACATAGAGCAGTTCCTAGCCGGACTACCGGGAGTTCAAGTGTTCCTTGACGATATTCTGATAGGTGGATCCGACTCAAGAGAACACGACCTTCGAGTCCTAGCAGTTCTACAAAAAGTCCAAGAGGACGGACTACACTTGAACCAAAAGAGGTGAACTTTTAGAGTCCAAGAAATGACGTTCCTGGGTTACAAGATAGACCCAAAACAGGAGAAGGTGAGAGCAATCTATGATGCACCTGCACCTAAAGACAAGTAAGAGCTTTACGCCTTCTTAGGACTCCTGAACTTTTATAATCGTTTCCTGCGTGGGGCTTCAGACGTGTTGGAGCCTCTCCACCGGTTTCTAAGGGAAGGAGTAAAATGAAATTGGTCATCCAAAGAAGCAAAGGGATTCAACGATTGAAAGGAACTTATGAAGTCTGACAGTGTTGTGAGCCACTATGACCTTAACAAACCACTGGTACAGGCGCGTGACCCCTCTCCTTACGGAGTAGGGGCTGTGTTGAGCCACGCAGATGACGAAGGTAAAAAACGACCAGTCGCTTACTTCTACGTTCGTTGACAACAGCGGAAAGAAACTATTCTCAAACAGGTAGGGAAGAACTAGCTGTAGTCTTCGGACTAAAAACGTTTCATCACTACATCTACGGAAGAAACGTCAAGATTTACACTGACCACAAACTGATGTTTGACAACAAGAAAAAAATTTCAAAGATGGTATCACCAAGGGTCCTCCGTGAGAGCTTGATGTTAGCAGCTTACCATTACCACTTATTGTACCGTCCAGGTAAACAAATGGAAAATGCGGATGGTCTCAGCCGGCTTCCGCTACCTTCACCCAACTTCGGCGTTACGCAAATGCGAGAGTTTTTTTTTTTTTTTTTTGGAAGGAACTCTAGAAGGTTTAGTGAAAGTGGAAGAAGTGGCGAAAATGACGAAGAAAGATCAGGTTCTTTCAACTGTGATGTACAGGGTTCTCCGTGGATGGCCAGAAGAAAAACCAAAGGACATTTTCAGTGAATGTTTTAACCGACGTGAAGAGTTGTCGGTATACAACGGTTGTTTGCTACGGAGAAATCGTGTGGTTGATCCCAAGAAACTATAAGAAATTGTTCTGAACATTCTGCATGCCTCGCATCCCGGTGTTGTGCACAAGAAAGGCCTAGCTAGAAGCTACGTCTGGTGGCAAGGACTAGACCAACAGATTGAAGAACGCGTTCGATGCTGTACAACGTGTCAGCAGACGCGAAATGCACCGGTCCGAGCTCCAATCGATCCATGGGAATGGACGGTTAACCCATGGTCCAGACTACACATGAATTTTTCCGGTCTTTTTGAAGGCAAGATATTTTTTATCGTCGTTGATTCACACTCAAATTGGGTCGAGGTACGTTTAGTGAAAACGACTTCAGCGGCGGAAGTCATCCGAAGTTTAAGAGAACTGTTTGCGACACATGGAGTGCCGAGATTTCCCGGTTTCCAAAAACGGAGCTGCCTTCACCTCGGCAGAGTTTCAAGAGTTCGCAGACAGCAACGGTATTCAACTTTCGCTTGTTTCACCATATCATCCAGCTTCCAACGGCTAAGCTGAAAGGATGGTTCAGGAAACCAAGAAGTTGCTGTAACGCCTGAAGGAAGGAGACTGATCTAGAAGGATATCAAGATGTTTGATAACTCAACATGTTCTACTTTCCAATACTGCTGGGAAAAGCCCAGCCGAGTTGATGATGGGACGCAAGCTACGCACGGCTTTAGATCTGCTTCATCCATCATTGGCAAACCGCACGATTGAAAGACAAGAGAAGATGTTCACGGAGCAGAGGAAGGAAACGGTCATTTTTCAAAAAGTTGAGACGTTCTGTGTAAGGAATCTGCTGTCGCCCCACCCTAAGTGGTTGGCCAGAAAAGTGATTAAAAGTTGTGGACCTCTGTCCTACAAAGTACTCTTGGAAGATGGTCGCTAAGTCCGACGACATTTCGATCACCCTCGTCCACGTCGGAAGGACACGACATTGTCCTCGGCGTCCGAATGCGATGCAAGTCTCAGGGAGAAAAGGGAAAGAGACGGTGAGGACGTCAAGGAGACAACCCCGCATGCGGAGTTCGGAATAACAATGCCGTATGCGAGTGAGTCTCCGGAGGAGCTTTTGGGTGTGGAGTCCTCCGAAACTCCGATATGCTAACCGGAAATGCTTCCTCGTCAAACAGCTGACGTTGACGTGCCAACTGGTCGCCCGACAAGAGTACGTCGATCACCGCGGTACCTTCAAGACTACCAGGTGGATTAGGACACCTACGGACTGGGTGGTGACGATTCCGGGGGAAAGAGTTGTAATATCGTGGGCATTACCGCGTGAGCAGAAACACGACGATACGCGAGCCTCCCACGCGGTCCAGAGAGCAGCACGAGCAGGAAATCTGGAACATACTGCGGTTCGACTCTCATTAAATGCGTGAGTTTGCTGTGATGTAACGTTGACCTCCATATATAACACATCCTACCGTTGTGCGATCATGTATCACATATGCCGTTTAATACACGTGAAAGACCTCCGAGCTAACACTTGTACTCCACTTGTTATATTCTACATCGGATAACACCGTCGCATTACGAAAATCCTGTTCTCTAAAAAAACGAACGACTAATTTTGAATGCGCGGTTACGTTGCAATATATATGTGTTCGCGTGTTCGCGTTCTTTTTTTTTATACATCTTTGATTTTACGGTTCTTACTTATGATGAAACAGACTATAGTTGTCCCACTTCTGGAAAATTATTATAAACTAAGAAAGTGGCACGTAAACGGAAAAGACACAAAAAGAACACCTAGGCGCTCTTACTGTTAATTGAAATAACAGAATTGATTGTGATTGTGTTTCAAAAGGTTTGAGCGCATAAAAAGCTATAAAAGCGAGCACGATGGTTTGCAGAAAGTAAGCTTCGTTTAATATGCAGAAATTAAGCTTTGTTTCACTAAATACATTACCAGTAACGTATTTCGTTTTATCGTGCGACAGAAAGCGGATCATACAATTGCAAGCTTGCTGCCCTGAACTACACTTCCAGTGAACAAGCGCACAATTGATGGTGCGCTTGTTCAGTGACATTCTTTAAAGCGCCGACTGCGTCACGGTGCAGGTCTTAGGAAGCGAATGACTGCGCACAGCGGAAGACTGAACTGGATTCCGCCATTGCGCTCCAGCGAAATGTTGTATGTCATTTCTATTGGTTGTCGTTACTTGTGAAACAATTATCAAGGAGCTTTAGCTGAGATTAGTAGGTTCAGCCAAAAATGCCGACCTCTGCGTGCAACTCATGTATACTTTGTTGTACCTTAAACGGGCGCGGACACCCATCAAAATCATATTTTTTTTATTATCCGAAGCGATTGAACACGATGCCGGGACATTACCCTCAAAATTCTAAACGTGGGAATTTAGTATTTGGGAAGTAAAAAAACAATTTCCAAATGCCGAATTCGAAGTTCCGGCGCGATCTGCGCTTGTGCGTTGACGTCAGATATTGGGGAGTCCTCAGAGTCGACTTTCTTTGACGACTCCGTGCTGTTGCCACCGCGACCTGAAGCGAGGAGGAAAGGATCGGGATATGAGGGCGCCGGCGGACCGAGAGAAACCTGTTTATTTTGTGCGAGCGGTGGCCCCTGCCCAGGCAGCATGTTTTCTGACGGAGGAACAATTCCAGAAGGCGACATCACACCGGACTCCGATTTTTGGTATTTCAAAAACGAAGGGCCGTAGTGCGTTCGCAATTGCGTTAAAAAAAAAAAACATGTTTTACGATTGGTGTTAATAAATCTTATCAAAATGTCGCCTACAAAGCTTCTAAATTTTAGGATACTTGACGACACGAATTAAAAGAATCGAGGAAGCGAGTAGCGGGAGAGGAAAACGCCAAAAATAAAAAGGCGCGCGCGCGCGCGTGTTAAAATACTTTTTCGCGATGCGTTTTTTTTTTTTTTTTTTTGCGTGTCTATGACCGCAACTTGAATCATTTTAGACAATAAAAAAATACGACCCATGGGGTGTCAGCGCCCCTTTTAGTCAGGCAGAGTGTATCTGCCTTTCGCCTTTTCTCCCAAGTCCGTGTGCCCAGAAGAGTCATTAAAGCACGAAACGTGAAGTCCAAGCGCAGCCGACGGTACGAACCAAGGGACCAATCAAACAGTGCCGAAAGCACAACGTCAAACCGTCCGCCGTCTTTCTGCACCTGCTCATCCGCCCACTCATTTAATCGAGCGCTGAGAGTTGGCCGTTCTTTCAAGCCCTGTGTGTATGAGCTTGTTTCTGTTCCAGGTAAAGTTGTTGCGAGTAAATGACTCGCTTTTTTAGATTTATAACTAGAGAAAAGTGCTATTCCGTCGTTTACCTGTCATCTCTCACCACTTGTGACGTCAGCAATTGCTGTAGCTTGAAGTCGACCGAACCGCCGGCGGATTCCTGTGGAGTCCCTCTCTATTTGAAACCTTGGTAAGGAATATTTGCTTTTCGCACCTTTATTTTTGCAGGTGGAAACCGAACAATAATCTGTTCCCACATACAAATGAAGAAAAACAGCCCGAGCGGTGTATATATAATTAATCCTCTCAACGATCCAGTAAAGGTTATGTGTGACATGACGTCTGAAGGCGACGGTTGGACAGTAAAGGCCAGTTCAGACACTTGCGTTTGACTGCGGTGCGTTCGGCTACGGAAGCGCGACTGCGGACCGATGCGGAGTACGCTTGCGGAGAGCTTGTACACACAGTTGCGTCGAAGCGCCGTCCGCCGCAGTCAAGAACCAATAGGAGCTTGCTATCGGCTCTTGCGGCGCACCAATCGAAACCGCGACTTGCAGAGCGAATGAAGTCAAGCAACTATGATCACAACGAACATGGCGGCGTCCAGCGGTAGCGTCGCGACTTTTCCGTGTCCCCCCGGGTTGTCGAGGTTCCAACAAACAGAAAACCTCAGGAATCTCTTCCTGGACTGCGTGCGGGGCTACATTGCGCAGGCCGGCAGTGAGACGAACTGGCCCCTGGTTGTGCGGGCTACCACAGCCATGATCTTGCTCCAGCGACGGCGCCACCCCGGCCGCGAGTGGGTTCGATCACTCCTCCGCTCCCGCGAAACTTTCGGTGAATACCATCATTTAGTTCGCGACATGCGTTTGGACAACGGGCAAGACTTTTTTTTGTACTTCAGAATGACGAGGCAGAGGTGAGTATGTAGAAGAAACTTTGGTAAGAAGGATTTGTCCCAGTTTTTCATGTAGGGTTCTGCGGTGCATGGAGGTGCCGAATTCGCATCGCTAATTTTCTGCTGCCACGGTGTCACCCGATTTTGTAGGGTTTGGCACTATCCTTGTGGCTACCGCTAGAAATACAGCTGGATTACTAGCTGCCTTGCAAGTTGCAAGAGGTGTCAAAAATGATTTGCTGGTCGCATAGCATTACTGAGTTTTGTTTTGACTTCCCTGCAATCACGCGCACTTCTGTTTTAGGTCATCCCCAATTACTCGGCGGTTTGACTTCAGTGACGGCGTTACTCAGTGACGGCGTTACGTTTCAGAACACCTCAGCAGTGTTCATGTATGAATAAAATGAGGAATTCCGCCTGACTAGTGCACGAGCGTCTCTATAACACGAAATTATTTATGCAATAGAAGTGCATGTCATTGATGTAGTTGCGAAATGTTGAATTTGGGATGACGGCACAAGGTTTTTATCTTTAAAAAGCAGTAAGTGTTAGGCAGACCTATTGAGAACGTTTGAAGGTTATAACTGGGAGTGCAGTCTCCAGACATTATTTACATTCTAATGTTACTTAACACACTTTCACCAGTTCAGAGAACCAAACTTTTAGTTTAGCGCGCCTGCAAACCTCGATTTTCCTCTGCCTAGTCCTGCTCGAGGAATCGCATTACTTTCTACAAAGTGCATAATTCGATCACAGTATCTAGTAAGAGTAATGAAAGATAACAATTGTGAGGTTATTTACACTGTGCATTGTGTGCCTGAACCATAGTGCAAATAGCACAAACAAGCAATCTGTATTTTATATATTTTTAAAAAATTGTATCATCCAATTAAATTGTATCATCCAATATATTTTTAAAAATTGATCATCCAATTAATGTGGCAGACCGCGCTTACTCTGAGCACTATTCAAAGGATTTGAAGTTGTGGCTCCTGAATGTGTCGTCTCAGAAAATTGCAGAAAAGGACGGATGTCGTGTTCATGCTGTGTACATCCACTTAAATTGACACTTTTCTTTCTCTTTTTAATGCACAGCAACTGTTGGGTCGCCATCTTACCAAAATAAGACAGCAGAGCCTCCTATCTTTGTTTGCAACAATTATGAAATGCCCTGGTTTATAGGTCTCGAGGCATTCATGGTTATTGCAATAGCACTAAAACCTCTTGGTCTGCAGATTCGACCACCTCCTCTCGCTGGTCGGCCCCAGCCTACAGAAGGAGACAACCTTCTGGAGGGAGCCCATACCACCAGCTGAAAGGTTGGCCCTGACAATCAGGTATGTCATAGCTACTGCTCCACTAACGAGTTCTGTCACACAAGACGTGAGCACTATTTCAAAAATAGGCCCATACCTATTCGTTCAATTGGTGCAATCAATGTCCCCCACCTTTGGCCGAGGGAAGAATAAAATCCTGATTTCTTAATTTCAGCTGTTGTTAAGGACTTATGATTTAATAGATAATATTAGTGGATTTGTTCACGATGGTTCAGTTTAGCGAACATGAAACATAACAACGGTGTTTGAAAGCACAGCAGACATTGCTTTCAAAAGGGGTACAGTAAACAGAGAGACCTAAATATTGCCGCATGCGTGGCCGAGTGGCTCATGCACTTGGCTGTTACGCAAAGGGCCCTAGGTTTGATGCCTGGGAGCCTCACGTCACTTTAGTTAATTTGTTAGAAAGTTTTGAGCGAGTGATCATACTAGGTGCTTTCGGAAGCCATATGCACATGCCTCTGCCCGCATCACATACAACTTGCGACATGTAGTATAATGCTTATAATGTAACCACTCTCTCTGCAGTTCCAACCAGTCATTTTGCATTTGTCTAGGCTACAGTTGCTTGTTAACATTTCAGGTACCTTGCTCATGGAGCATCCCAGGCCATCTGTGCGATGACCTTTCGGATAGGGCGGTCTACCGCAAGTGAGATCATCCAAGAGACCTGCGAGGCCCTGCGTGCAGTATTGGAACCCCTCTATCGCCCTGTAGGTACCCCATTTTCACCTCTTTTAAGGTAGAAAAACTTTGCTGCCAAAAGATATTTCTATTTTCTAAATCCTTTTGTGGTTTTGAGTGAACAAACAAAATGTATGCCACTGTATAACATTTTTAACCTACAGTTTCCCCACCTGCCTTGCCCTCAATGTCAAAAGCTCTGCTGGAAACCACGCATACTTTTGTGCAACAATCTTTTATTCAGTTTACTTTATGAAACATCTCGTCACATCAGATTGTTCCAGTTTGAAAACTGAACACGTCCGCCATCTTCACTAGCCACAATGTGACGTAAAATGTAGATGCTCGGCAAAAGCCAAAAAAAAAGAAGTAAAATGCAGGTTCACAGCAAAGCGACATACAATGTAAGTGCACACTGCCACTGGAGCACTTAGCTATGGCGGGCAAGCGCTATCCTGCACTCTGTCTCTCCAGCGTGCTGTGCCGCCAAAGCCACAACATTTGTAAGTTAATCAAGAGGATAAACTTCGCCTCTCTCTTCCTCATGTGAGCAGAAACTGTCAGTTTAGATCTGCACGCTGCAGAGTCACCGTGCAGAGTGGTGTTTACCCTTCTGGGTGGCGCAAGAGCACCTTAACTCTGGCTGCACTGCACATTGTTAGTGCAGCAGAGTATAGAGCAGTTACCGTTCTAACTACTCAATCATGTGACGGGATATACCCACTTTTTCTATAGGTGTAGGAAGAGGTAGTTAGGTTCTGCTGGCCACCGCTTAATTGCCCACCGTGTCTTGGCTTCGTGCCGACACAATATCAATAGGGATGCTGTAAATTGCAAATTCATTTTGTTAGAGCTGCGTTGGGTTAGCACTTTTATCGCACTTGTGCAGTATTGGTCGACACAGTATAAACATCAGATTCGTCATGTTATGAACAGGCCCTTTTAAGAAATCTGCACAGGTCAAGATTGTTTCACACAGTTTTTGTGACAACTGTACCATTCCGTAATTTCACTGGGGCCCCCATCTTCCAGGCATCTGGCCCGTGGCATGGCTAGCCACCGCTATTCAGCTGCGATCAAATGCTTGCGTCAATGTGAAATGGGAGAGCTGAATGGACCCTTGACCTTAGCGTAGAAGCCCGGTCCAGAGGTTAGGGATAACCCGTCATGTGACAGATAGATGACACGAGAGTCACTACAATGGCGTCCCTCCATAAAAGCTGGCTGTTTGCATGGCGGCATCAAAATCTTACGGATCACAGTATAATTATGCTCTTGGCATATTTCCTTTTCTTTTCTATATGCTCATGCATAGATCGGTGCTAGCACCAAAATATCTGTTTTCTTTGTGCCCCATTACGTCCATGGTGCACCAGCCTAGTTGTGCAGTAAACATTCCCAAGAGACGATTTGTACACTCAAGTTTTAGACGAGTGTGGTTGTTGTTGTTAAAAACCTCCCTTATTGAATCGAATAAGAATATAGAAAAAAGGGAAACGATGGGTGGCTGCCCTATTCGGGGGCTCCACCGGCCTTGGACGCTATCGCCACTCTCGTTGCAGCAGTAGCTGTTGGTTGAGGTCCTTGCTGCGTAACACGGCCTCCCATTGTTCTGTCTTCGGATTCGCGAATGGCACTAGGCCTCGGATCTTCTGACAGGCCGACACGACGAGATGAGCCTCGGCTCGTTCGCACCCGCAGTGTGTGCATGCGGGAGACGGGAGGGACGACGGGTACCACGCATTGAGTCTGTCTGGCGCTGGTTGTGAATTCGTCTACAGTCTTCGTATAACGTGTTCTTCTTTCGAGAGATTCTTATATGGAAGAGGGAATCGCCACCTGGCGAGTCGTGTGGCATTTAGTCGTTCGGAGTATGATGCTTCGTCGTCAGCATCGTGGCAGCGGGAGGGGAAGGCCCGTTTGGGAAGTAAACATTGGGCCGTAGCGTGAGCCGCCTCGTTCCCCCTGCGTCTTATGTAGCCCTGTGTCCACACGACATGTACCGACTCCGGTGGGTGCTTTCGAGCCAGTCTTGCTGCTACGGGTCCGACAGAGCCCGCCTCAAAGTTTCGACACGCTGCCTGAGAGTCTGTAAGCACAG